AAAGCCGGCGAGGTCCGTCGTCACGTTGAGCGCAAAACCATGCATCGTGATCCACTTGCTCGCATGCGTGCCGACGGCCGCGATCTTGCTCTTGGGAAAGGCGTGGCGCGCGTCGGGCACCCACACGCCCGTGAGGCCATCGACGCGCTCGCCCGCAATGTCAAAGGCGCTCAGCGTGTCAATGACGACCTCTTCGACCTGGCGGAGGTACCAGTGCAAATCCTTCTTGAACGGATCGCGCGTGAGATTGAAGATTGGGTACACGACGAGCTGGCCCGGCGCGTGGTGCGTGACCTCGCCACCGCGGTCGACCTTGATGAGCTCGAACGCCGTCTCCTTGGTTGGGTCAAACTTGACGTTGGCCAGAGACGCGCCGCGCCCGAGCGTATACACGGGCGGGTGCTGCAGCATGAGGCAGACGTCCATTGGCGCCTCGGCGGCGCGGAAGCGCTCCTTGAGCAGCTGCTGCTGCCACGCCCAGGCTTGGCGGTACCCGACCACGCCGAGCCGGTGCACAAGACAGCGTGGTGCCATCGCTACAAATGCAAACCAGGCCCATGTCCTGAAACAAGGTGCTGCAACTAGGACCAGGTCCTGGTAAAACGATCATCACTCTGTATGTGGTCTAATCGCACCGTACTTTGAGGTTATGCTTACTGACATGATCATCGTATTTGTGCTTCAAGTTGGGTGTATTCAGATAGGAGGGGGCATAGCATAGAATAATATGACATACCAATATCGAGATAAAAGGTGTCAAGCGATTAAATTTAAATTAGGACATGCCCGATGCCGATGCCCGATTGTGCAGTCCGAGATACGGGATCATTGACGCGAGGTCGGGGCACGACAATGGACCCGACGAGTACGCTACCTCGTGGCATCGACCGGCGATGACGATGGCTCATGCGGCTTTGCGTAGAGAGCGCTCCGTTGCGCCGCCGGAAGAGCAACCGCAACAGCCTCTTCGACAGCTCGGACGAGGACGCCTCACGCGGCCTCACGCGCAGCGACAAGGGCCGCGACAGCAAAGGCGGCAGCGACAGCCGCAAAGGTCTCTTTGATGACCACGACGACGAGAACGGCGACGACGGGCTGCCCCTCGAGCAGCTGCAGCAGTCCATCAAGGAGCGACAGCTGCGCAAGAAAGCGCATCTCGAGACGTTGCAGACGCAGGTGGTCGAAGCGACGACGCTCGCCAATGCCTTCAAGGCAGATGTCGCACAGCTCAGCTTGCAGCTTGGCAGTGCCAACGCGAAGATCGAGAAGCGGAATCGGCAGCTTCAAAACGCCAAGGACCTCGTCCAGTCGCTCCAGGCGCAGGTCGCGACACTGACGGCGCAGGTGCTCGAAGAAAAGTCCCTTCGCGGGCGCGACGAGCAGACGTGGCTCCTCGAGCGTGCGTCGCTCTTACGTCAGATCGAAGAATGGAAAGCTAAGGCCCACTTCACGCCCCTCCCGGTGCCCATTTCGCCAACGACCAAGTCCGCGTCCGCATCCTCTTTGCTCGGCAAACTCTGGTCCAAGGCAAAGCCGAAGGAAGAGGCCGTCGCACCCGCGCCTGTGACGACAGCACGCCCCCAAATGTTCACCGTGCACGTCCAGTCCGAGGACGACGACGACGAATCCAGTGACAGCCTCCTTGGCAGCAGTGACGACGATGACGATGACGCGAGCGACAGTGACAGTGACAGAGGACCATTGCCCATGCCCCCGCCCTTGCCGCGAGAGGCCCGCCCATCGCCGCCCGTGGTCGAGATGCACTCGACCGACGACGCGGAAGACGACGCCGAAGCTCTGGACAATGACGAGGACGATGACGATCTGGCTCACCCGGCCTCAACCCGGCACAGCCACACCGAGCCCACGCCATCGAGCGCACATGAGCCCAAGGTGCCTCCGACAGTGTCGCGCATGAACATGTACATGGAGAAGCGCGCCAAGAAAGAGGCGCAGAAGCGGGAGAAGGAGGCGCTCGAGGCCCAGGTACCGACATGGTCCCAGAATGTGTCTCTTGACGGCAACAACTGCGGACTAGGAAAAGAATCGGTGGCAAGAGGTGTACGAGCAGGAATGGGCCCAGCTCGCGCAGGAGGCCAAGGAAAGCAAGATGAAACGCAAGCAAAAGAAGCCATCGGTCACTGGCGCCCAGTTCACGCGCGTACTTCTGGATCCCATAAATCGTCAGCATCCTGTATCGCCTCTGCCTGCGTTTAGATCTCCCGCCAGCGACCGTCCAGCATGAAGCATTTACAAAAACCTGCTGGTGTTGCTCCGACACCGACCGTGGTACCGGCGAGCCCGCCAGCACCGAGCACCGGCGTCGTGCCCCCGCCACCACCCGTACCGGTGCCCGTCGACCTGACACCGCCGGTACCTTAACCGTCGTTGAAAACAGAGAGGTCATCGTGCCGTCGTCTTAGGTGGTCGCATCGCCTCCGCTGCCGCCCGAGCCGTCGGACGCCGACGTCGAGCTGTACCGCCGACAGCAGGCGCGCCTCCAAGAACTCCACGAAGCCGGTAGGCATGTGCGCGCGTCGTCTGGGGGATTCACTGGTTATGGGCGCAGAGCGATTGAAGCGAGAGCAAGCCGAGGAGACGGACC